CCCCCCACAGGCCACGGGGTTAAAATCGCCAGCTTCTGGGAGTGTTTGGAGGTTCCCCAAGCTTCCAAACACTCCCAGAAGCTGGCGATTTCGCTGGCACTGGTCCCATGCGGGGGTGGGAGGAGCGTCGCAAGGGTCTGAGTGAGCTTCCAGGACCCTTGCGACGTTCCCCCCCACCTGGAAGCTGGCGATTTCGCCTGCGCTGGCCCCGTGGGGGGGGGGGGGAGCATCGCAAGGGTCCTGGAAGGCTCACTCAGACCCTTGGGAGGCTCCCCCCCCACGGGGCCAGTGGAGGCGAAATCACCACCTTTGCTCCATAAGACGCACAGACTTCCTCCCCCACTTTTTTTTGGGAGGGGGAAGTGTGTCTTATGGAGTAAAAAATACGGTATATATCCCCATCATGGCTTGTAACCTGCGACAAACTTTTCCTCCATGAATTTGTCCAATCCCCTTTTAAAGGCATCTAGGCCAGATGCCATCACCACATCCTGTGGCAAGGTGTTCCACAGACTAACAACATACTGGGTCAATAAATATTTTCTTTTGTCTGTTCTCACTCTCCCAATATTCAATTTGAGTGGATGTCCCCTGGTTCTAGTATTGCGTGAAAGGGAAAAGAGCTTCCAATCCACCTGCATAATTTTACACGTCTCAACCACGTTCGATGTCATTATATTAAGCATTTCCGCAAGTCAACCACCAGTGAATGTCAGAAGCTGACCCCACAACTATAAATACTCAACTATCCAACAAACTGAACCAGAGCACAGACAGAGTTCTGACTCCTGTCCTCTGAAGATGCCGGCCAGAGAGATTAGCAAAACGTTAGGAAGAAAAACCTTAAGAACACGGCCAAACAACCTGAAAGACTCACAACAACCATATATTTAGATATATTGATTTAAATGAATGGCTAGTGGGTTATTTTACATTTGATGCTGCTATAGGCTAAACTGTTGACCTGGGCTAGATTGTCAATGCTCAGCCATGTGGTTCACTGTGTGGTCTTGGAGCAGTCTTCTTCTGCCTGTCCTCTTTCTCACAAGGCTACTCTCATAAGACAAAGGAATAGCCAAATATGTGTTGTTGTTGTTAGCAAATTGGACAAGGCAAAATATGCAGAAATGATCAATTCTTAATTTAAGCACTTAAAATGGTTAGATTTCTGCCTTTGGACCATTGGTTTTTAATGTGATTTAGAAAACATACTTCCTGTCAAATTCTTTGTAAGCACTTTGTAACCAGCTCAGGGAGGGTTTATTTTGACTGTTCAGTCCATAGTGAAAGTAGACAACTGTGTAGTCATTTTCCACATACTGATCCAGTGTATACTTTAAATATCTGAAAGAGAAGAAATCCATTAAATGTTTAATGTTTATAGTAGTGGTTTCACTTTGTTTAGGTCAACATCAACACTTAAAAGTTGAAGGAATATATACATCCAGTTTTCTTTGTTGTATATCTACATTCAGATTTAAGTCTTAATGTCAAATACGTATTTGGCATGCTCCTTCCACCATCCCCACATAGAGCTGCCTATTACGGAAAGCTTAATCAGACATAATTCAAATACCTAACAGAGCTTGAGGTGGATAGTATCATATGGTGAATTGACTGTAGCCAGGCATAATATTGGAAACTCTGAAAACAACAGATAGCCCAGAACTCTGTACCCCACCCTCCTTAACTGTTGATATGAGTGAAGAGAAGAAAACCTACTCTAATAATCGGCTGTGATCAAGCTGATGGGAGGGAGGCAAGCGGCAGCTACTGAAAGCAATCACCTTTCTCCCCAAATGGTCATCACCTGGAGAACCAAAAAATAGCCTAATTAGTAGGGTGTTAATTTCATTTGACTGATACACACGAGGGCATGTGTTGAACGCACTGATGTTCTAAATTTTGGAAGGAAAAAAGTTATTCTTAAATACAAAGATTACAAATTCGACTCTACACATAAACTCACCCAGGAATTCACGCAATGTTCTGTGACAAGGCAAGTGCATCATCTAATAGTAAGAGGTCTTAATACAACTGAATGTTCACAATATGTGAAAATAAGATGGGAAAGGAGATAAAGTCATACTGCACATTTTATGCTTCATGAAGCTCCAGTTCCTCAAATTCCAGCTTTTTAAAAAAAATGTTAATATAACCTTTCAAATTAATAATATTTTCATTCAGTCCAATCAATCCTAAACATTACTAAGAGAACTTACTGCAATTAAAATAAATTGATTCCAGTCTAGGAAAGGATTAAAGTTGAAGGATGTAAATTGAATATCTCTGCAAGCTTACAGTGTGTTCAATAAGCTGGATGTTTTAATGAAATATTTACAATCTGGGAAAGTTTGGTATCAACATGGTTATAAATGGCTGAAATTCTACTGCTACTTAGAGAAAAAAGTTAGACCCTTAGCTTTTTGATACCTATGCTATTTAACTGGCTGCTGTTAGAACATAATAAAAGTACCTATTTTTGAATTTGGCAAAAGGAGAACTAAATCAGTATAAACATTACACTGGTATCATCCATAGATTGGCACATTAGGTATGAAAATTAATTTATTGGTCTCAAAAGTTAAAAGGGTGGTCTAACGAAAGATCTCATCTCTCCACTCACAGAGAGACACCTGTACACATCTGCAAGCCCAATGCTTGTGCCTTCCCCAATTCCTAGCATTTCTTTGAAAGGATAATTAGTTTCCTTCTCATCTGTTATTGACCATTTTAAGCATTTAATTATTTGTCAATATTTTCTTTTCACTACAAGAATAGCCTTTTTGCCTTTTTCTCTGATAACAGGCCTGGTTTTAGTTCCATCCATGAAATTCTGACAGACTGTGGGCAAAGGGTGAAATACTAGGGGCAAAGCAAAAAATACAACGAAAGAGAGAAAAGTTCCAGTCAGCCATCCGTGAACAAGTGCGCCCCACAATGTAACCATTTTGGCCCAGGTCTCACTTGCTCACTCCTTTTCTAACGCTAAATTGTCAAGCATTTTGGAATGCCCACAAAGGCAACCTTGTCTCTCACTCTTGTGGTTCAACACTGAAAAATGCCAAAGATTGACATTTTGCATACTAAGAAAGAATTCAGCAACAAAAACTACGAAGATCTTTCCATGAACCAAGAAAATCTATCATTTGAAGGTGCTTGGCTGAGTTTTTTCCATTATAGGTATGTGGCCATCAACTGACACAAGGGTGAAGGCTGGTTGAAAACTTTTGCAGATGCATTAACTTCAAACGCTGAATTCGTGTCCAATTCGTTGTGGTTGCAAAATGATAAGCATTATGGAAAACATCAATTGTGGAGTCATGAGAGAGTTATAACTGAGGGAAAATGTTTTTAAACTGTTAGTCTGTAAAGAAATTTTCAAAATATGTAAGCTCTGACTGGAGGCAGAAATATCTGAGGTCAGTTTTGGACAGTGCAAAGGTTTGATCTGCCTTCCTTACTATATGCAGATTTCCACTGTAAATGTTTTCCCAAAAAACAAGAGCAATGATACCTTTGCTGAGGCTTATGACTGCTTTAGGTTAAATGTCAAACCATTGTATGGAACAATAATGTGAATCCGAAGAATAAAGTGAGGGACAAATACAAAATAAAGAAAGTTTCTGCAAACATACCTATGAAATGAATAATGTTGTGCCTTGCCACATCATAATATGGGTGAGACATGCTTATTTCAACTTCTCTCTTTGACACAGTTACAAATAAGCCCTTGTTCTCTCCCATAGCTACATTTTCTGCTTCATCTTTCTGCAGCTCTGAAGCAAAACAAGAAATGAAAGTATGTTACATGAAATACTCAGGAAGATTTATAAATGAAAAATAATCATGTACCATTCACCAAATGCCTCAGGTATGTCCATTAAGCACACCAAACCCTTCTGGAATTCTGTTTCCAGCACTGAACAAGTAGAGGCCTTTGGGAAGCCCACCAGCTGCAATAAACAGCTCTCCCCCAATATATGCCACTAGCATTCAGTATACTGCCTGCCAGCCTTGAGCTGGAGATCCCATTTATACATCATTTTGCATTGTTTATATTCAAAAAGTACTTTTTGAATTATTTCACCTTAGACTCAGCATCAGAAGGGACCAAGTAGAATATTTAGAGGTGAGATTTTTAACCTGTATGCTTATAAGTACATGGAAAACAGGAAAAATGTGCCCACCACAGCTAGTTCCCCTTAACACCATGCAGTCATAAAGGACAATGGGTATAGTTTGTGTTCAATTGGCTCTTGCCTTTCCATTGGACTATTTCAGAGATGTGGAGAGGGGGGATTTGCTGGTTGGGTAACAGCCTATCCTCCATATTATTTTACCCAGGCTTCGTGCCCTGGAGAGGACACTCCAGCTTCGTGTACAGTGTACTAGACGCTGTTCAAAGCCCTCCATTTAATTAATGTATTAGGTGCTGTTGTTTTGTTTATTTGCTTTTTTGTAGACGTGGCAGCCGTGTTAGTCTGTGCAAGCATTACAGGTAAAAGCAAAATAGAAATAAAAAGTCAAAAAAGCCAAAAACATGGTGGCACCTTAAGGACTAGCTTGTATATTTTTTAATGTGAGCTTTCATGGACAAGTTGACTTCATCAAACATAAGAGAAAGAGATTTAACATGGCAAATATTTATACAGTGGTGCCTCACTTGATGAGGATAATCCGTTCCAGTGAAATCGCTGTAGAGCGAAATCCTTGTCAAGCGAAATAAAAAAGCCCATTGAAATGCATTGAAAACTGGTTCAATGCATTCCAATGGGCCAAATACCTCAGCGTCCAGTGAAGATCCTCCATAGGGTGGCCATTTTCTGATGCTTGTGCAGCCAAAAATCCATCCTGAACACAGCGGGGTGCCCATTTTGAAAACCCGACGATCAGCTGTTTTGATCATCATAATGTGAAGAATCGGTTCCCGAAGCAGGGAACCGATCATCGTAAAGCGGATTTTGCCCATTAAAACATAGTTTTGTGATCGCAATAGCGATCGCAAAAACATCGTCGTGAAGCGGATTCGTCATCAAGCGGAGTAATGTTAAGCAGGGCACTACTGTACAGAGATCATGGTTAGTTGGTACAAAAGTCAGTCTGTGGAACATAGTGGTGACAGTGTCTTTGATATGCAGGTCCTTTTTTCTTACTTAATAGAAGACAACAACCTTGAAGTCTAAAAGAGTGTGAAGGAGAGGCTTGAGATTTCTTTAGGATGAACCCCAGCCTACCAAATTATATTATTCTCTCTCACACAGACACACATACCCTTTCCATTGGAGAAAGGGAATAGACAAATACTGTGTTTCCCTGAAAATAAGACAGGGTCTTATATTAATTTTTGCTCCAAAATGCATTAGGGCTTATTTTCAAGGGACTTTTTTTCATGTACAACAATCTACATTTATTCAAATACTGTACAGTCATCTTCTTCTGGTTGCTGCACAAAGGTGGAGAGCAGTGTTTGACTAAACTGGGGCTTATTTTTTAGGTAGGGCTTATATTACGAGCATCCAAAAAATCATACTAAGGCTTATTTTCAGGTTAGGCTTACTTTTGGGGAAACAGGGTATTAAGATTGGAAAGGGAACAGATTAAATTGTCACATTTATTTTCTTTGAATTTAAAAGACATTACATGAAATAAATGCACATTCCTCATTCAATATCATCAAACCAACTCATCTACTACACAGTATTCTGGTAAATACAGTGCTGTTGCTCTCCCCAGATATAAAACAATATGTACAAAAAAGATGACAAAATAACTGATATGGTCTTAATAGCAAAATTAAATAATATTGGCAAAAGATCGAGGGAAAGGCAAAATATGATAATGCTTTAAAGATTAACAGATTTACTTCTTTAGATAATGCAAATACTTGTCTCCACCATTCCAAATGAGGAGGGGGGGGGAGACAAGCATTTGCATTATTCCTCATTAAAAGAGGAATGGGACTAATCAAGCCGCTAATTATTAGATCTTAACCAAAGTGATAAAGGTAGATTTGGGTGTCAAAGAAAGCGAAGAAATTGTAACAGCCAAATCTACCTTGCTTACATGTTTTTATTGGTTTGAAGCTGATGTCAGAACCATTTAGGTTTCATACCACCATTTACTTATTAGTTGTTGCCATCTTTTAGAACAGGGAATACACAATGCCTACTTAACAGACTAGCAAACAGAACTGTTACCATGTTAAGAACTTAAGAACTGCTTTGCTGGATGGCAAGGAAAGTACCCTCATCCAGCAATCAGATATAGTCTGGGCATGAAAGTGATGGCAATCTTTTGTTATGTATTCCAGACATCAGGTACTCAAAGGAATATCACCTCTGACTATAGAAGCTTTTTCTTAACCAGAGTAATTTCTACATACTTGGTATCAACACATCTTGCCATTCATGCATAATAAATGCAATATATGTTACATTTTCTCTAAACAGTTTTTTTTAAAGTTGCACTTTTATATTATTACATGCTAAAACTGATTTTTCAAAATGATGGGCTTTCTATTCAGATGGCCATATGGCCACGTTCACCAGACCATTTTCAAAAAACAACATACAATCAGACAGGCTCCAGCTTCATTCAATAGTTGTCTATTTAGAGTAATGACTCCCATTTGTGCAACAATATGTGATGATAGCAGTATTCCAGCAGCCTAGAATTTCACAGGGAGCCCATCCCAATAATTCATATAAGCAGTGTGTATTAAACTAACCTTCAACCTTAATAGATTTTGATAATAAGTTACAACCCAGTCCAGTGGTTGTAACTATAATATATTAGACGATCCTAGCAAAAGTTTCTCACTTAGAGAATAATCTCTTCTAAATTGCCTGGAAAATACATACAAGATACAACTTGATGAACTATATTATATATATTTACCTATTTCAGCTAACTTCTCAAAATCAATTGCAGACATGATTTCAGTATATAAAAGTAGCCTACACAGTTAGTGATGTCTAGCAGTTGTTAGACTGAGTGTTCTTTAGTCCTTCGCCAACTGGGGGGAAAAAACAGAGTAGAAGTTAATATTTAGAGCCAGAAAAAAAAGCCTTCCAATAGCACAGTTGTGAGGACCAATCCCAGTCCAGTGGTGGTGCAACTATGCTAAATGGTGTCCTCATATAACTAGACTGTTTTTTTATTTTATGCAGGTTGACTTGACTTTCTCACTACTCTAACAGAACGAAAGAGGATAAGACTGCTATTAAACAGGTTTATCAGCCTTGACAGCAGAATTATACCAAATGAACATTGTTGGGCCTGGATTTCTAGCAATCATGGGAGGTGTTAAAAAAAACCATTGCTGATTCTTGCTCACCTTCCTTTGCATACCCTATTAATACAGGAAAGGTACAACTGTTCTCCAAATCCTTTTTTTAATGAAAAGAAGAGATCTAAGTAACCATATACATGTCTGGAAGTTAAGTCATGGCAACTGGACTTCTTTCTTATTAAGTTGAAATGTTTCAATACTCATCCAAGTAGTTTCTTCAGTCTCAGGAGAGTTGGTAGGAGACTCCTGATATATTCTCCACGTTGGTTTCACTTTTCCCATATGCATGATTTATTTTAAGATTTATGAGATGCCATTCCAAGATTGTGTACAACACAAATGAGTATACTAGTACAGGAAAAAGTTACTTTTTGGACCACAGTTCTAGAAATACAAAAGGCAACCCAGCTGTGGCAATCCCAGTTCCATGGGTTATACGAGTTATCCTATGAAATATAACTGTTTTTATGTTCTGGAAGACATATTGTTAGAATGGCAAAATAAATAAATAAAAAATCCTAAGCAACAGTAAAATCAGATCAACAAAGAAATCAAATATCTGGCTTATAGACTGAAGTAAAGCAAAAAGCAAAGTGTGCTGCTTATATACCATCCCATAGCGCTTCAAGCACGCTCTGGGCAGTTTACAAGTTAATTATGCAGGCTACACATTGGCCCCCCCCCCAGCGAGCTGGGTACTCATTTTACCGACCTTGGAAGGATAGAAGGCTGAGTCAACCTTGAGCCAGCTACCTAGGATTGAACCCCAGGTCATGAGCACAGTTTTGGCGACAGCACAGCAGTTTAACCACTGCGCCATGAGGCTTAAGTAGACTTAAAAATGTATTTTATGTGCTTCCTTATAGCAGTATGGATATAATTTACCTTACAGTAAGACAGTAATCTTACCTAGGCACAGAGAAATGGACTCCATGCATTAAAGGTATATCTTGTCCCTAGCTCTAAATTGCCTTCAATAGGTAACTGGCATACTGATCAGGCTGTACTTCCAGGGGATGGAGCCAGAAAATAGTGCTCTAGCTCCTTTCTGAACAACTCTCACCTACTAGGCCACTATCAAAGACCTACAGAAGCAAATCTCAATACTTTAAACCAGCTTCATCATCATGCTGCACTGACTTGTGTGTCTTTCCATATATTCTAAGCACTCCAGTGTTCCTAAAATAACCTGCCAAAAGGGCCACCAAAGAATCAAAGCAAGAAGAATGATAGGATCAGGCAAAGTAACCATCTGCCCAGTTTTCAGTGTATTGTTCCCAAAGAGCTCCAATTAGAAAGTTTCTGTTTACGGGTGGGGGATATTGAGGCACCCTAGGAAATTAATTTACTCTTGACCACAATACTCTCTGCTCCTAAGAGATCACATAATCTCCTTAATAACATTCAACATCGAGTATTACTGTTTATGGTGAACTGCCAGAATTAACTCTTTTCATTTCTACTTATAGCAGCTGTTTCAGTAAAGAAACTTGAAAACAGTATACAATAAAAACCGAATTTTGCATCAAGCATTCTACCTTCTGATAGTCTGGAAAATTGTTACCTTACATGAATTCTAGCAAAAAGAAAAGAGAAGGAATAAGAAAGGGAAAAGGGAAAAAAGGCAAAGACATCATAAAAAAATAATTTAAAAAGGAACAACCATTAGTGAATAGGAGAACCAAAGCCAAAGTATTCCTCACAATGTTCCTTAACTCTTTGATGCTTTCTCTTTGTTCCTTTAGCTCTTAGCTACACTCTTATTTAAATTTAAAGCACAAAGCTATTGATCTGAATCTTTAAAACAAAACAAAATACGATATGCATGCATATCAGCCTACACCAAAACCCCTTTATTTCTTCTAAGAGATACAACACAAAGTATCATGTTGCTTTAATATGGAAAGCACATTTTGATTCATTAACATCTTGCAGAAAGGATGCAAAGGTTTCAAATGAATATTCTTAATTAATATTAAATTAATCTTACGTATTTAGTACCTAAAAGAATAATAAATAAATAAATAAATAAACAAATAAACAAATAAACAAATAATAAGATGTAGTCAGAAATACTACAGGAAGCAACAATGCTTTTACATTTTATGAGTTATCTAGGGTTAAAAATTAGGAGTGCAATCTTTTTTAAAAATTGTCTAGTCAAGTTCCATTGAGTTCAGCTGAACTTAGACCAAAAAATGCATATAGGATTCAGACTGTGTTTCTTATCTTATCTGTCATCTGATGGGAACTCTGTAAACAGTTATCAATATTTTGCCTACCCTAGGATTTAATTATTATAACTGGAATGCTGATGTTAGAAATCTGTTTTACGTATACTGGTCCTTGCCTTGTGCCCTGGCATCGGCATATACCATCCAGTGCATATCTGAGCATTTAGCCCAAGGATACGAGTGACTGCAGTCTAAACATGCCAAAATGGAGAATAAGAAATATATCTAAAATTGAGCTCTGTAAGATGAAGAATTAACAAAAGCACTAGAAGCAGAGTTGTGACTAATCTTATACAGTTCAGCACAAAAATCAAATGTAACTCATTACAAAAACAAGGGAAGCACCGAAAGAAGACCAAAATTAGTTAAATCTATAAATGAATTAGGATACAGAGAAGGACTGACATGAGTACAACTGTGTGCAAATGTTTTAGAAGGAAGTGAAACTGTTTCCAAATTAAGAGACAGGAAGGTGCAAAAAGGTTACAAGCATGGCAATAGGGAGCTGGATACAAGTAACATGACCAGTAGAGGTATGCATAAAACATATTAGTGTTAATGGGGAGAACAAAAGAAAGATTAAAGAAAGGAAAGAAGAACCGACATGCATATTTTACTTGTTCCAAGGGAAAGGGGGAACTTTTCCTTCAAGGTGTGCTGTAATATAGCAGCTCATTTCATAGAATAGAACACTATAATTACAGGGAACACTCTTTACAAATTATGTGTTGTTTAACTTTTTTCTTGCCCTCAAAGGCCATAACTGAGGTCAAACAAACGGGGAGAGGGGGCGATACTGACTGGTGATGCTTTGCTAACCTGCCCTGCATTCCTAATTTTCCAACTACAAAGTAAGATGCATGGAGCTGGAGAGGGAAGAAAGATTAGAGAAAGGAGAAGGGAGAACATCAAGAGAAAGATATAGATTTGAATGCGCCAGATTCTAGAGTCTACAGGGAGTAGCACAAACGGAATCTTTATTCAAAGAATCCCTTTTGAAACCTGTTCTAAGAGACAGATTTTCACCACCGGAAAGGAGCAGAGAGGTTGTGCAGGATACTAACAGCACCTAAGTTTTCCAGCCATGGATGGTGAGTACAAGTGTCTGTGCAAGATGTGCTCCACATGCATGGCTGGAGTTCTTTAATGGCCAATCACATTAGCAACAAGAGAGGGAGATGATCTCTATCCAAGGCATACAGATCCATTTTTTATTATCATAAAGACACTGAAGGAGGCAAATGAACACATTTATATAAAAGAATAACTTAGCCTATCTTGCCTCTCTAACTTGCTTTGCTACATGAATGTGTAACATTATATCAGGTTTCTGCTTACTAGACAGAAACAGATAAAGGAGGGAAGCCACCTGCATTCATTTGCTTGCAAGTAATTAGTTTTAATGTATTCTCGAAGGCTTTCATGGCTGGGATCTGATGGTTGTTGTAGGTTTTTCAGGCTGTTTGGCCATGTTCTGGAGGTTTTTATTCCTAATGTTTCGCCAGTCTCTGTGGCCGGTATCTTCAGAAGATAGGAATTAGAACACAGACAGAGTTCTAACTCCTGTCCTCTGAAGATGCCGGCCATGGAGACTGGTGAAACGTTAGGAATAAAAACCTCCAGAACATGGCCAAACAGCCTGAAAAACCTACAGCAACCAACTAGTTTTAAACTGGGAACTTGTCTTTGATTACTGATAAGTAGACATGGGGGTATTTGTATTTGTATATGAAAATCCCCCCATAGGTGCAGATAACTAGGGTCCACCCCCTTGAGACCAAACCAACCACTCATAATTTCACCACTGCTGTGAGCTCCATGGAGCCTTCCTATCACTCCATTGCTCGCGACAGATTAGCCAGTCCTGGCAGAAGGCGGATGACAAGCCTCTCTGCCATGTTGCAGAGTGGCTAATCCACTGCGAGCAACAGAGAGATAGGAAGGCTCTGTGGAGCATTATCTGCACCTGAGGGGGGATATTTGTATACGAATACCCCCATCTCTACTGATAAGAGTGTTTTGGTACCTAGTGCCAAGACAGGAGAGAAAAGTTTTTGCCAATTGCCTGGGCACCAGAAACCTCTCCTTTGTCTCCTCCTTCTCCGCACCCCTTTGCCTCCCTCTTTTTCATTCGAACGTATAAACTGTATATTCTGTTAAGTGTCTTTACGCCTCTTCTCTGCTTGTTCTGGTGGACGGAGAAAAAGACTTTTGCTTCTTTTCAGCTGAAAATAAATATATATATATATCGGATCTCCTTGTCCCTGGTTAATTGAACATATATCAGAGACAGGTTAATGTTCAGAAATTAGTTCTGGCACCGATCAATATATATTACTTATACATCTTTTGTTGTTGTTTATTCAAATACATACAGTGGTGCCTTGAGTTGCGAACTTAATTCGTTCCGGGATGATGGTCATAACTCAAGTTGGTCATAACTCAAAGCACCATTTCCCATAGGAATACACTGAAATGCGATTAATCCAT